TCTTTCTCTCATTCTCCCTGTCTCTCTCCCCATCTCTCCTCTTCTCTTCCCTTCCCCCCCTCCCTCCCCCTCCCTTCTCATTCCAGGATCACAGGTGTGGGTTCCTTGTGTGATGGCCGCAATAATCTTCATTGCAATCTTCCTCTTCATAGCTGTTGTGAAAGTCATGAAGAAGTGAGCAACTTCTGCAAGAGCAGACCTCCAAATAAATCCTATAATTGCAGTTCACGCCAGGGCCAGTTTGCAATTTTCTCCCATGAAAGAGGTTTCCAACAACAGCCGTGCTGAAAACTTTGGAGCATTTTCCTACTAGTTCTCCTCCAAATGAATGAAATTGATTTCTAAGCTTCCTTTAAGGGATAGGAGAATTTTGGAGAACTCCTCAGAGGTCAAAGTAGAGATCTTGCCCTCCTTGAATGACCACGTTGCTCAGGGAAGGGCGCAAACATCTTGTCATCTCACTAGTGATCTGCAGGCTCTCTGGCTTCCAATAGATCCTCCTGAGAGATCCGGGCTTTTCCGGACTGGGAAGTATGAGCAGCCAGGGAAGCTGCAGGCCAGTGAAAAGACACGGATCAGAAAGCAGCAACTTCGGCCACCTCCCCTTTTCCACCTTTCAGTTAAAAAGCAAGTTCAAGTGCATCACGGAGAAATTTGAAAGAAATTCTCAAGTCATTTGAGAATAAAGGAGGAAAAAACAGAGGGGAAAAAAAAAGCTCTGAAGAAATTCAAAATTTGATGCAAGCAAAATTCAGTATAGTGTTATCTCCGATGCCCAAGCTTGCTTTGGGAGACCAGTAAAACCACAATACGGCGGCAGTTATCAGTGTGTTCCAGTTTCTGCTGTTGCTGGCCAATTTTTTTTTCCTTTTCTTTTCTTTGTCTTCTTTTCTTATTTTTTTCTTTCTTTTTTAACCCATGTTTTGGGGATAGTGAAAGAGACGTTTTGCAGGAAGCACAAAGTTCCTGATGTTATCTTGATTTAGAAAAATGCCTCTTGGCTACCTGTTAGACCTCAAAGCTATTGAAATGTGCTTGAATAGAAAACAGCTAGGGAAACCGGGGGGAAAGGGGAGAATTATTATTACTTTGTGAAGAAAAGCGTGTTAATCCTGCTTCCCGTTTTCATGGCCAACCCTTTGGTTCAAGGCCCACAGTCACACTCCCAAAATGTGGAAGCTGCTTCTCCCCCCAAAAATAGCTTATCCTGTTGAAGCTTTCATCCCTTCAAGTTTGCAAAAGGAATCAACTGAAGCTTCACTCAGAAGTTGGAAGCTGACCTCGTAGTCCAGTTTCTACCTATGATGTACAATGTGCAAAGTTTGAAATAGTTGCCTGTAAAAAAAAAAATTAAACATTTAACCTTGATTGTTAGTGTGCTGACATACGCAGTAAGAATTCTAATTTAACCTTATGAAAACAGGCCTTCTCTTCCTCTAACACAGAGTTTCTCAACCCTTGGCAACTTTAAGATGGGTGGACTTCAATCCTCAGAATTCCCCTACCAGAATGCATGCTGGGGAATTATGAGTGTTGAAGTCTACCCATCTTAAAGTTGAATTCTGGGAGTTGAAGGCCACATAACATCCACATAGCCTGAAATTGCCAAGGTTGTGAAACACTGCTCCAAAATAACTTTTTGCTAGGATTCTTATTAATGATGTTGGATTTTTTTTTTTTTGTTAGCTGCTGTGGTTGGGTGTGTCCCAGCAGCGTGCAAGGATATAAATAAATAAATACAATTTGGGTCAACCCACCAGTTCTCATTTACCTCAATTCAGTTGCTTAACCACATCCTATTCGTCTGCACTTTCTTGACTTCCCTTCCTGTATTATCTCCTCTCTTCGGTGTTGAATTGTAAAATTGTAGATTTGGAAGGAACCTTCAGGTGAGGGTTAAGGTTTTAATCCAACCTCCAGTGCAAGGCAGGACACCTTACGCCAGACAAATGACTGTCCAGTTTCTTCTTGGAAACCCTCCGGTGATGGCGCACCCAAACTTCTGGAGGCAAAGCTGATTAATTGTTCTCACTGCCAATAAATTTCTCCTTAGTTCTAGGTTGAATCTCCCTTTAATGATCCTCTACCTGTTTCTTCTTGTCCTGGTCTCAAGTACCTTGGATAATAAATTGACCCCTTCCTCCCTGTGGTAGTCCTTCAAGTACTGGGAGATGAGCGCTGCGAGATGAGTGGCATATAAACTTGATAAATCATAATTAAGATGCATGTATCGTGTCTCCCTTAAACCTTCTCTTCATTAGGTTAAACATAACTACTAGGTACCTTTAGCTGGTCATGGGATTTAGCCTCCAACCCAATGGTGGGATTCAAATTATTTACTCCCAGTTCTGTGGGCATCACTTGATGGGCGTGGCATGGCTTGGTGGGCATGCCATGGTGGGCGTGGCAGGGGAAGGATACTGTAAAATCTCCATTCCCTCCCCACTCCTGGGGAAGGTTACTGCAATGTCCTCATTCCCTCCCCACCCCACCAACCTGCTTTCCAGCTCCCTTCTCCTGCGCAGGTCAACCAAAGGAGACCCAGCTGATCAGCTGAGATTCAGTGGGAGGCAGAGAAGAGATGGGGGCCGGGCCAGACAGAGGCGGGATTTTCCGGTTCTCTGAACCACTCAAAATTTCCACTACCAGTCCTCCAGAACTGGTCAGAACCTGCTGAATACCACCTCTGCTCCATACCCCTTATAATTTTTATAGCATTTTATCTCTGCACTGTCTCTAGAGCTTCGGCATTTTTTTTTGAACTGTGCTGACCAGAATTGAAAGCAATATTCTAAACGTGGCCTCACCAGTGTGGTATAAAGTGGTGATGTCATTTCTCCTAATCTTGACACTATCTTTCTGTTGACCGCAATCAAGATCACATTGGCTGTTCTGGCAGCTGCAGCAATGCTGCTGGTTCCTAGATTAAAAGGCCACTCGGGCAGGTTTCTCTCGTGCTATATTTTCTGATATGCCATGCACACTGGGTAAACATATAGCAATAGCCCTTAGACTTATATACCACTTCACAGTGCTTTACAGCTACTTTAAGCAGTTTGCAGAGTTAGCCTCTTGCCCCCTCAACAATCTGGGACCTCATTTTACTGACCTCAGAAGAGTCAACCTTGAGCTGGTCAGGATTAAACTCCTGGCAGTGGGCAGAGTCAGTCTGCAATACTGCAATCTAACCACTGCACCTCAGGGATGTATGGATGGGCGGGCAGTAGACTTATATACCACTGTTATGATATGAAAACACAGGGTTGAGCTTCAGGAAAGTATATGAAGTTGACTCTGTTATTTTTGATATTTCTGTTTCTTCCCAGCTGATTTTACTGGGCTCTGAATATTTTCCACAGTCTGTACATCCTGGCTTCCTTTTGCTCCCCACAGCTTTTCACCCCGGCACACAACAACCACACAGCTATATTTTGTCCAGATGTAATTAAGAAGGTATCTGCACAAATAAAAATTTGTCTTTAATACACATGGTTTAAATTTCAATGTACTCTCATCCACTTTTCACGCCATAGCAATTTTAAAATAAAATATTTACACTAGAAAAAAGAGCCGTACAAATACAGGTAGTCCTTGATTTAAAACCACAATTGAGCCCAAAATTTCTGCCACTAAGAGACATTTGTTAAATGAGTTTTTCCTCATTTTATGACCTTTCTTACCACAGTTGCTAAGTGAATCACTGCAGTTGTTAAGTGAGTTACATGAATTCTTACGTGAATCTGGCTTCCCCACGGACTTTGCTTATCAGAAGGTCCCAAAAATATGTGTCAGTTGCCAAGTGCCTGAATTTTGATCACACGTCCATGAGGGTGTCACAGTGGTTATAAGTGTGAAAAACAGTCATGAGTCACTTTTTGAGTGCTGTTGTAAGTTTGAACAGTCACTAAACAAACTATTGTAAGTTGAAATTTCCTACATTGAAGGAAAACAGGTTGGTGTCGTCTCGAAGCTACTCGAAGGTACGACGTCACCCAAGTCCACCCAAGAAGTGTTTGATTGAGTTTCCAGGAAGATCCTTGTGTGAGCGTTTCACATCCAAAGTCCCCCTGGCCAGGACCAAGGTCAGATGCTGGAGTTGCTGGATTGGAGATTCAGGCTTTTGGAAGTTGTGCACTGCATGGAATTCGACCTGCGAGACTGCAGCACTTTGGCCAAGTACCAAAGGAAGACGAGGAAGCCTGCAGAAACAGGAGGAGATCACAAGTGTTAAGTAGTTCCTGGAAGGGAGTGAGAAATTCGGACATATGGATAGAACTGCAGCGTAATGTAGTACTGTAGGAATAACCTTGAGGAAGAAGGAGGAAGAGCCACAGCCAAGGCAACAGATAAATAAAAGAAATTTGAGTCTGGGCCAGAAATGTAATCTGTGAAAACAACTCAGGCAGGAACCTCCCTAGTTCACATGAAGATAAAGATGGAAGTGTAATCAGACTTGCAAGATTCAGTTATGATAACCTTATCATAAAAGTAGACAATGGAATGATAAGAGTTGGAGCTGGAGAAACAGAAGAAGATCACAGATGTTAAAGCAATCCCTGAAAGGAATTGTGGAATCGGGACGCAGGGACCGAATAGTAGCAGGGTTGAGGGCTGTTGACTGTCACATGCTGTGGAAGGACTGAAATTCAGAAGTCAAGAACATTTATTTTCATTGTTGGCAATTTCTCCATATGCAGGTCATTCCTGTCAGCAAATGACACAGCCATTAATCAAACGGGTGCTGCTATGGACCAGTTTGATCAAAAACCGGAAGTAAAATGTGGTTTTCAGCAGAACTGTTGCATACAAAACAAAATCAAAACTATAGAGACTTTTTCAGGCAGATTTAACTCATTGAATACACCACACTGAACCTCAAACCACCTACCTCATTTTATGTAGTCTAGCATGCTCTGCAAACTCACCCTGGGATAAGATAATGATTGCCCCCAAATCCTCCAATAGGAATTGTCTTCTCTTCAAGTCCCAGCGGCTCCAAGTTTACCACTACAGTTGTTATATGTGGTAGATTGGTTTGGTCCATGAGATTCATTCTACCTTGTCTAGCTGACCCTGAGATGCTGGAAGTCAATCTAAGACTTCTCCAAGCAAATCATGGGTTCTACCTGCCCTCCTCTAGGATCTGCTCACTTACAAATCAGAACAGTATTTTTCAGTCTTGGCAATGTTCAGATAGGGGGACATCAACAGTCAGAATTCTGGAGGTGGAGTCCACTCCTCTGAAAGTTGCAAGGTTTGGAAACATTGAATTCGGTTGAAAAGATGCATCTTAAGATAGCAGTGACCTCAGATTACATAACAAGAGAAGCCCAAAGGAAGGAGATCAGAAGCAGTCATCACCCTGTGACCTTGAAGAGTGTTGTGGCCTGTTGTGGCCTGTCGGCCGCTGGCCCCTCCAGCACCCAAATCAGAGGAGGAAGAGGAGGAGGCGTGGGAGTCAGGACCAGCATCAGGGCAACCTGAGAGTTCTGAGGGGGAAGAGGGAATGGAGCTGGCAGAGAGGGGGGGGGGGGGGGGGGGGGGAGAGAGAGAGAGAGAGAGAGAGAGAGAGAGAGACAGACAGACAGACGGGGCAGCGCCTGGGCCATCCGTCCACCCTCAAATGGAGAATCAACAGCCCTCAGGTCTGGAGATGGCTGATGTGGAACAGCTGGGCCCAGTGCCTGATGCATGGAAGAGGAGGAACTGCTGGGTCCAGTGCCTCATGCGGGGATGTGCAGAAGGCAGAGGAGAGGAGAGCAGTGGAAATCTATGGGCCGGTCCTTGGGATGGAAAAGCCACTGCTGCTAGCGAGGTCCCACCCTAGCTCTGGGGATAAAAGGCAGGGGGTGAAAATAAATAGATGTGGCATATTATTCATCTCCCTGCTGGACAGACTTGTTAGCCTGTATTGAGAGAGAAACTTTTTGCCAGGGCTGCTGGTACTCCTGATAAAGGAATCATTGATTTAACTTCAGAGGGTTTGTCGTGTTTGGGGAGCTGGGTCAGAACACTGACAGTGAAAAGTTAGACGAGCAACAACTTGACCATCCCATCCTCTTAGGATCTGCTTCATAAGCTCAGATTGAAGTGAAAAGATGAACTCACTGAGTCACCAAATGGAACTCTCTCTTGTGTTGCGTGAAAATCCAGACGACGAAAACTGATAAAAGTGGCAGATCTCAAGACTAAGGGGAGCAGGAATACTCACTGACCTTGGAGAGAGTTGATGATGGTGAACAGATAGACGGCCACCAGCTTGAAGGTCCCAGAAGCGACTGCAAAGAAGACCAGCCCCCAGGGAATGCCCAGGACGCAGCTCAGGCCCAGGAGCATCACCACATATCCCCAGTGATGCTCTCGATGTCTCAGTCTGAGAATCTCATACACCATGGCGGCCAGCATGATGCTGTTGAAGAAAAGCACCAGGCCTAAATAGCCCAAATTCAATAAATTGTTGATCTCCTTTTTGGTGATCCAACAGCTGGAGAGGAGAAGAGAAAAAAAAAACCAGAAAGGTAAATCTAGGCACCATTCAACTAGGTGGAAACTAGAATATGAGCCTTCAAATAGGCTGGGAAATTTTCTTTAAGGTGACACCTTCCTCAAAAACAGGCATTTCCAGGACGTTCCAGTGCCAATCATGAATGTGATGCATTCCACCCACTTTGTGGCCTCTGCTCATGCCCTGATTCCCTCATTCTCCAAGAAACTTGGTTGATGGAAATGAAGTTATAGCCAATACCTGGCTACAGATGTTTTTATAATGAGCCCCAAGGGACCAAGTGATGGGCCATGCTAAGTGGGGGCTTAATGACCCTGGTCACAATACATCTTGATAGAATCATAAAATCCCAGGACTGGAAGGCATGTTTGAGGTCTTCTACTCCAACCTAATGTCCAAGGGCTTACACCATCCTGGACAACTGTCGTTCTTGAAACCCTTCTAGTGCTGGAGCATCCATCCATCCAGCAATGGAGCACATTCATGATAAGAGATTAGAAGAAATTTATCTGGAAAATCATGATACAGATGAAATTCAAATATTGAGGCTGAAACTGAAGGGGAGAAAGTTACTCTGTGTGAACCTTTATGCGCCACCCATACAACAAGTAATGCTGAGTCTTTAGTTGACAAGTTATATCAATGGTTTAATTGTGACCTGTTCCTCTCTGTTTATATGTACATTATGAGTTTATGCACCGGAGACAAATTCCTTGTATGTCCAATCACACTTTTCCAATTAGAAATTCTATGATCTTCTATGACTATTTGTGAGGACTTTGATGTTAGTATTAACCCAGATTTAGTAATGCTGAATCTAAAAGAGAAAGACTTTTTTGAATTGGAGGCCACTTTCCTCTGGGACATATATCTCACGATAAAACCCAAAATAAACAAAGATTAGAACTACATAAATTAATGTATAAATTACAAAATGTATGCATTTCATCTGTATCGATTACAATGGGATCAGTCTGGGGTTCCTATACATCAGTCAGCCAGAGAGAGGTGCAGTTGTTGATTATATATTCATATTTTATGTATTTATTTATTTGATTTGTCAGTCGCTTACAAGATAATAGGAATAAGTATAAATATGAGTATGAATACAGGAAATAGGTATGAATAAATGGGGACAGGTAGGCACGATTGTGTACTTATGCACAATGCAATTACAGACCTCTTAGGAATGGAGTGAGGTCAAGAGTAGATAGTTTAAGGTTAAAGGATTCGGGGTTTGAGGATGTAACAACAGAGTCAGGTAGTGCATTCCAGGCATTCACCGCTCTGTTGCTGAAGTCGTATTTTCTGCAATCAAGTTTGGAGCGGTTTACATTGAGTTTCTATCTGTTGTGTGCTCTTGTATTGTTGCGGTTGAAGCTGAAGTAAACATTGACTGGTAGGACATTGTAGTAGATAATTTTGTGTACTATGCTTAAGTCCAATCATAGGTGGCTTAGTTCTAGGTTGTCCAAGCCCAAAATTCCAAGTCTGGTGATATAGGGTATTCTGTTGCGAGCAGAGGAGTGTAATACTCTTCTCGTGAAATACTTCTGGACTCGCTCAATTGTATTAATGTCCAAGATACAGTGCAGATTCCGGACAGATGAGTTGTATTCGAATATTGGTCTAGCAAAGGTTTTGTATGCCCTAGTTAACAATTCAGTATTACCCATATCACCCTTAGGGACATGATTTAGTACAGTAACATCTCCAGGTTTTGGGTCTAATCAGCCTCTGCTACCCAGAGATGGATGACCGTTAATCCACAGGGAAAAGTGAATCTTTCTGAATAGACAGTAGAGGCCATTTTGTTCTATCCCGCCGGGAACTTACATGAATTCAATGTGGTATTGATCAGGAGACGTATAGACTTTAACAGAGGAAGACCCATAGGAGGACTGATCAATCCCAAAAATTAGGCACACGATGAGTGTAGGAAGACCTGCAGATGAGAACAGCTGGAGTTAATGCCACATCCAGCCAGGGGTGGGATTCTACCGGTTCGTACTGGTTCATGTGAACTGGAAGTTAAAGTTTCAGCTGGTTCACCGAACCAATATTTCAAGCAACCGGTTGGCCCCACCCCTCCCACCCCACCCCTTCCAGGAACCTCCATGAGGCCCATTTTGATGGAGGTAAGTGCAGAATCCACGCAGAGGCTCTGGGCGGGGGAAAAACCAGCTTTCTGGAAATCCAGAAACTGGCCTGTTTCCAGCTTCTGGAGGGGCTCCAGAGCCTGGGGGAGGCCATTTTCATCCTCCCAGAAGCCCGGGAGAGGCCTCTGGACCCTTGGGAGGGTGTAAAATGGCCTCCCCCAGGCTCTGGAGGCCCACCGGATGCCGCAAACAGGAAGCTCTGGTAGGCTCCGCCCACCACGGCCCTGCCCACCCATCAACTGGGCAGTGAACTGATTGCTGGGATTTTTGAATCCCACCCTTGCATCCTGCCCCCTCCTCCCCATTTCACAACAATTGTTGAATTGTTCAAGCCAATACCAAAAAGGGAAATAAATCTTAGAAAAAATATAATCATTCCAGAGTAAGAGATAGTGAGAGACAGATCCAAAACAAGGACAGCAATATATATATTCACTCACCCCAACCTATTAAGGACAGCTTGACAAGTAAGCATTTTATGTAAGAGTTGAAGACTTGGATAACCAGCCGGTAGAGACTGTAGCCCTCAATGGCCATCCAGGTCAAGCACGCAAGCACGCCAAAGTGCAGGAACGTCCCACTAGCTTTGCAAGCCATGTCTCCCATGTTGGAAGCCAGAGGCATCGCGACGAGGAAGCTCACGTCGAGAAGAAAGATGGCCCAGAGGAGATTCATGTGGACATAGACAACGTGGTTTCTCTGCTTTTTCCTGTGAAGTGGGAAGAGCATCATACTTCTTTTCTTGGTTGTTATGAGACTGTAAGCCAGGGGTCTCCAACCTTGGCAGCTTTAAGACTTGTGGACTTCAACTCCCAGAGGAAGTTGGCTGAGGAACTCTAGGCGTTGAAGTCTACAAGTCTTAAAGTTGCCAAGGTTAGAGACCCCTGGTCTAAACTGCAGTCATGAAAAGTCTTAGCACCTGTTGTACGAAAGGATTTGATCCTCAAGACCTGATCCCCGAGTAACTTCACCTATTTCTGTTGAAGAAATATCCACCTGGTTCGGTTCCAAGCTGGGAGAAAGGCACTGGAAATCACACGGAGGCTGATTAGAAAGAAAGCTGGTTTATTGATGAAACAGAATAGACTTATATCTACTAAGCCAAGGTCAACTGTCTTGGCATACCAGATGAGTGAGAAACCACCTGAAGATGTGCCCCACATGACATTATACACACCTCAGATTGGAATGAACAGTCTGGACTCCTGGGGGGAAGAGAACTTGGGATGACTTCCAATATGCAATTTCTGTGCCTATTTGCCTCAGATTTTGGTTTCCTTTCGTTGCTATCATTTCAAACTCGGTAAAAATACTTTTCTCTATTTTAATGGAGTCGAAGGATTTCTTTCTTGGGTTTTGAATGAGGCACAGTTGACAGTGTGGTTCTGGTTTAGCTGACCCAGAACTCCATCTTGTCTTTGTCTGTGGTTCTGTTCATCAATAAACCTTTCTTTCCAATCAGCCTCCATGTTGTTTCCAGCGTCTTTCTCCCAGCTTGGGACTGAACCAGAGGGATTTTTCCTTCCAACACCTCCCTACAGATGTTCTGCAGACCATTCTCATAGTCACATTGTGGTTGGCCATGCTCAGTGGTGGGATTCAATTTTTTTTACTACCAGTTCTATGGGCGTGGCTTGGTGGGCGTGGCTTGGTGGGCGTGACAGGGAAAGGATACTGCAAAATCCCCATTCCCTCCCCACCCCACTAACCTGCTTTCCAGCTCCGTTCTCCTGTGCAGGGCAACCAAAGGAGACCCAGCCGATCAGCTGGGACTCAACGGGAGGCAGAGAAGAGAGATGGGGTTGGCAGAGCCAGTCAGAGGTGGGATTTGCTGGTTCTCTGAACTACTCAAAATTTCCACTACCGGTTCTCCAGAACCAGATGAATACCATCTCTGGCCGTGCTGGTTGGGGGGTCATGGAAACTGAAGTCCGAAAGACTGGACAGCCACAGGTCATTGACCTCTGTCCATCTCAGAAAACATATATCCTTCAAGTGCACACAGACTCCCAACCCCCAAAGGCTATTGTCCAGATAAGATTCATGTGGACATAGACCGTGTCATGCTTGCTTTTTCCTACGGAAAAGAAAGAGCATCAAACTTGTCTTTCTGTTTAAAGGGGGTCCAATGTGAGCACCTTAATCCTTCAAGAACAGTTGCATTACCTGCTGCTCTTCAGATATTTTGCGCTGCAGTTTTCACTGTCAATTGCTGTTCACTAAGCTACCTGGGGCTTACGGAAATAGGTCCAAGACAGCCCCAGCTCTGCCCTTAGAAAATGTATATCAAATGCACACCGATTCCCATCCTCCTTTGACTGCATGCTGTGGTGTCTCCTTCCTACTAAGTTGGTAGATGAATGTCCCACTCTTACGGCCATCTACCATGAGCTCTGAATTTCAAAAAAGGTCCACCTGGGAAATCCCGCAAAATCTTTCCATAATCTTGCTTTGGCCATTATCACCAGGCTCAGCTTCTGAACACTACATTGGTGTGTGTGTGTGTGTGTGTGTGTGTGTGTGACCTGGAGAAGAAACAAAGTTCACACAAAATCCCACTTCGGTTCCCACATATTTGGTGAATTACTGGGAACAGCCTGAAAATGGTAAATTTCAGCTTGTGGCTAGGTCATTATATGGGTTCACAGACAAGTATGTGACTCAGGTAAAAAGGAGTCCCTGCCGATTTTACTCCGCTAGCCGTGGCTACTCTGTGGTGCTCATCTCCGTTTCGAGGCCACTGAGCCAGTCATGTGGCCAGCAAGACATCACAAAATGCTGTTTCCTCCGCACCAAAAAGCTACCTATTTATCTACTCAGGCGTGGGATTCAAATTTTTTAACAACCGGTTCTATAGGCATGGCTAGGTGGGCATGGCCATGTGACTGGGTAGGCATGGCTTCTTCTTTCTTTTTTTTTCAGCAGCCCCCCCCCCCATTTTTTTCTGCCTCTTGGGTCTCTGGGAAGCCTCGGGGGGGGGGGGTTTCCCCCCAGAAGGTTTCCCGGGGGCCCAGGAAGGCAAAAAAAACTGGAGTGAAGGGGGAGCGCACAGCACTCCCCTGCGCTCCATTTTGGGGCCTCCTGGGCCTCAGGGAAGCCTTCTGGGGGGGTAGTTTTGCTCCCAGGAAGCTTCCCTGAGGCCCATGAAGGGAAAAAAACAGAGCGTGGGAGTGGGGCGCAGCACACACACACACACACACACACCCTTTTTGCCTCCTGGGCCTCAGGGAAGCCTCCTGGGTGAAGCAGTAAGACAGCGAGGGGGATCCCAGCAAAGCTGATCACTGGAACAGCTGATTGTCAGGAGGGGGGAAAAAAAGAAACACCTTAAGGAGTGACTGGATGGGGGAGAACTCAGTCAGCGATGTCAGGCATGTGTGCGATGTTGTGCATGCCTGATAAGGACTGACTGGGCAGGGAGGGGAGGGGCAGATGGAGAGAGGCAGGGCGGGGTCAGCCAGGGGCACAATTTGCCAGTTTTCCGAACTATACAGAATCATAACAACCGGTTCTATAGAACCAGTTCTAACCGGTAGAATCCCACCCCGTATCTACTCTCATTTGCATGTTTTCAAACTGCTAGGTTCGTAGAAGCTGCGGGGAGGACAGGAGCTCACCCTACTCTATGGAGCTTGGGTCTCGAACTTGGGCTGCCAGTTTTCCAGTCGACAAGCCCAGAGCCACCCTATTACCCAATGTGACTCAGAGCTGGAAAAATCTTTTTTTTCCTGATGCGTGCTGAAATGTCCCTGCACATGATCTCATAGGGTTCTTCTTCACTGAGAAAAACACTGCATGTTTTTGCTAGTTTCTCCTTCAGGGCTACTCTAACTTCCTTCTAAAGTCCTGCTGGGTCTTCCTTCTTTCCAAATCCCGACTTAGAGCAAAATATCAACATATCCTACCTCAAGCAAAGGAAGACAATGGTGATGAGTGAAGCCAGAGCTGAAATGATGCAACCAACATAACTGATAATGGTCAGGGAGCTCTTGTGGATCTCGTCTATATCTGAGGAGGGGAGCTGTAGGAGGAAAGGCAGGAAGGAAAAGATCTAAGAGGTGTAAAGGAGTAAAAGGCTTTCCAGCAGTTCCAGGACTGAAGGAATCATTAATGTTCTGAATGTGGTTGGACCACAACTAGAAGACTGCAAGAAGCAGTGAGGCCTTCAAATCCAGCTTCCTACCAGGGGTCAAATCCCTGGAAGATGTTTGTCTTCCTTTTTAAAAAATCAATAAAAATCATTTAAATAACAATTCTTCTGAGTACAAGTTTAATTTCACTGCTTATCCTTCTGTCTTCAATATTCTTGAATCTTTCCTTCTTAGGGTGCTCTCTCTTAAAAATTTTTTTTAAAGATCTCACCAAAACCAACACACTTTCCGTTCTTCTTCTCTTCCGTTCCGGAGCTGTGCCAACCTCTCAGCAGCTTCAATGGCTGCTTCCTTCCGCAGCTGGTTTGAAAAGCTTCTCCTGGTTCAACCAGGGATTTTGCGGTATCCCTGGGATTAGCAGTCTATGCTCTTGTCATTCACCATCTCTATGGGATGGTTTAGATCCAAATACCCCAGCTGCGGCAGTATCGACACCAGTTCTGGAGCCCCATAATCGCTCGTCATATCGTTACAACGTCAGCTCCGCCCTCCCATGTCTGTCTTCCTTTTGAATACATCCCGTGAACAGGAATTGGCTGTCTTCCTGGTTAATTATTTCTACAACTAGTGGAACAGCTTCCCTCCAGAAGTTGTGGATGCTCCACCATTGGAGGCTTTGAAGAAGACACTGGAATGGTATAGGGTCTCCTGCTTGAGCAAGAGAATGGACTCCAAGATCCCTTCCATTCCTGTTATTACAACAAAGCTGCTCCTACCATTACAAAGCTTTTTCCTATGTTCCAGCTACAATCCATAACGGAGACCCATGATTTGGTATCCTATGCTCTTGGTGACAAGGATCAGATCTTCACCTGTGTGACATGCTGCTGTCACATAGGGGCAAATAGAAAATGGAATATGAGTTCTCAGTTACCTTTATGGGTACCTTCAGTCCGTTTTTGACTCTATGCCTGGACATGTCCTTGGCAAATTATCATATATATGATATGATATCATATCATATCATATGATGATATCATATCATATCATATCGTATCATATATATTGTCTTTAACATACATGAGTGCTTAGGAAACAGGGCCAATTTACCTTATACATAATATCAATAATAACAATATTTACTTGTATATAGTAATATCCTTCCAGCTTCTAATTTCTACCTCTGTCTAACCATTCATAAATCAAATCCCATGTTAAAAAACATTCTGTATCTTCTTTATCCTTTATCTTTAATGTTAACCTATCCATTTCCGCACAGTCTAATCTTTTGTTAATTATGTTTCTATCTGTAGGAATGTCCTCATTTTTCCAATATTGTGCAAATACAATTCATGCTGCTGTCAGCACATGTAGTATTAAATATACAACCCATTTGTCATAATTTTCTGGTAATATACCTAACAAAAATATTTTTGGTTTTAAATCAATATGTTGCTTTGTCATTTTCTCTAACCAGGTGTGTATTTTTGTCCAGTATTTTTTTTTTTGCCTTTTTTGCCTTCCTTGGCAAATTAACTTTATTCAAGGCTATACGCATCAATCTCTCTTTAAGGATTGGTTTTCCGAACCTTTTTTTCCCCCTTTTGGAATTTATCCCTCCCTTCCATGCAATTTATCATTACTTTGGGTTCATTCAAGTCCACTTCCTGGGAAACCAAGTATACATTTCTCTACCTTTAGCTTCAATAAATATTGAATATTATTAAATAAATAAATAGAATTTTATTATATAGTCGGTTTTTGGTTAGGTTCAAGGGTAAGAGATCTCCTGAGGTTTTCTGATTCCTCACCATGCGATTTCTGAATTTCTGAGAGTTGTACAGTGGTGAGATTCAAATTTTTTTACTACCGGTTCTGTGGGCAAGGCTTGGTGGGCACGGCAGGGCTTGGCTGGTGTGGCTTGGTGGGCGTGGCAGGGGAAGGTTACTGAAAGATCCCATTCCCTCCCCACCCCACTAACCTACTTTTCAGCTCCGTTCTCCTGTACAGGACAACAAAAGGAGACCCAGCTGATCAGCTGAGACTCAGGAGGCAGAGAGGCCAGGGGTGGGATTCTATCGGTTCAGACTGGTTCTATAGAACCGGTTGTTAAGATTCTGTGCAGATTGGAGAACCGGCAAATCATGCCCCTGGCTGGCCCTGCCCCTCTCCACCTGTCCCGCCCTTCTCCACCCAGTCATTCCTTATTGTGCACGCGCAACATCGCACGCATACCCAACATCGGTGACTGCGTTCTTCCCTGCCCAGTCACCAAGGTATTTCTTTCCTCCCCCCAATGATCAGCTGTTCCTATGATCAGCTGTGCCGGGATTCCCCTCGCTTACTTACTGCTTCACCCAGGAGGCTTCCTTGAGGCCCAGGAAGGCAAAAAATGGAGGGAGGGAGCATAGCCCCCTCAACCTGCCATTTTTTGCCTTCTTGGGCCCCAGGGAAGCCTTCTGGGACACAAACACCCTTTCAGGAAGCTCCCTTGAGGTGCAGGAGGCCCCAAAATGGAGCCCCAAAACCCAGGGGAGGTGCTGCAAAAAAAAGAGAAGCCACGCCCACCCAGTCACACGGCCACTCCTGCCTAGCCACACCCACATAACCGGTTGTTACAAAATTTGAATCCCACCCCTGGGGGGGGTGGCATTTCCCGGTTCTCCGAATCCCACCCCTGGCAGTCAGAGGTGGCATTTGCCGGTTCTCCGAACGACTCAAAATTTCCGCTACTGGGTCTTCAGAACTGGTCAGAACCAGCTGAATACCACCTCTGGAGTTATAGTCCTCCATATAGCGGGGGTGTCAAACTCAAGGTGCTTAAATCTGGCCCATGGGGCTGCCCTGGAAATAGCAAAGGACCAGCCCAATGCAGCCCTCCCGAGCTCTGTTTTCACTGGCAGAGCCTTGCAGGAGGCTGTTGCAGCCTAAAACTGAGCACGGGAGCCTGTTTTTGCTGGCATAACGCTCAGGCCGCCCCAGGCACCCCCGACATGAGTGATGCTGAGCTGGCCACACACACCCCCTGCCTCCCCGAGGTCAAACACAATCCTGATGTGGCTCACAACAAAATGGCAGTTTGACATCCCTGCTCTACAGGATGCTGATATGGAGTTTGGTACTTACCATGAGCACCGCAAAGAAGGTGAGATGGTCACAAAGGCAGGTGGTTTGGTTTTCTCTATGCTTCACTTCACAGCCAGATGTATTCCACTTGCCGATGTCACCACCTACAGTCAAAAGAAGAGGATACTTTAGAGATGATTCTCTCTTTTTTTAAAAAAAATTTATTGGTTTTTAAAAACAAACATAAACAAACAAAACATAAAAACATCAAGCTATCTTCCATAGGTGTACATACAGTGTGCCGGTTGGTTTACAAATTGTTTTGTGCTTCCATTTCGTAGTCTTCAATTACAATTACATTACATATAATCTCATATTGTCAATCAAAAATTAAATACCTTAGTATCATTATTAACCAATCATTTGACTATACTTTTATTCATTCATGTTTTACAAGATAACCATAATTTACTTAATTTATTTTATAACAGTTCAAATTATCATCCCAAATCTATCCTAAAATCATTCTGTAGCTATAATAAGAAAGAAGTACATCCTTATATATTATTTTCTAAAAATCTACATATTTCATTACTGTACTTTGTTGTCTAACCACTGATAGAAAAGATCCCAAATTTTTGTAAAATTGTTTATCCTCTTGTTCTCTAATTTCAAATGTCAATGCTTGATTGTAAATGCATTAACAGCGGCTAGGATTGTATTTGCTAAAAACTGGAAAAATGGGAAAATACCATCACAGGAGGAAATCAGTAAGAAAATATTGGAATGTGCTGAAATGAGAGATGATTCTCTTGAAGGGGAGGAAATGAAAGGGCCCACCAACCACCGAGAGTGGGTTCTTTTGGTGTTATTAACAGTAGCACAGGGAGGAGCAATACAGGTGGTCCTCAACTTATGGCCACAACTGAGCTCAAAATTTCCATTGCTAAATGAGACACTTGTTAAGGACTAAGGGGGACATGATAACAGTCTTCCGGTGTTTGACGGGCTGCCACAAAGAAGAGGGGGTCAAATTATTTTCCAAAGCACCAGAAGGCAGGACAAAAAACTATCGATGGAAACTAATCAAGGAGAAGTGAGGACAATTAACTAGTGAAACAGAAGTTGCCTCCAAACATTGTGGGTGCTTCAACCCTGGAGGTTTTTAAGAAGAGCCTGGGCAGTCACTTGTCTGAAATGAGATAGGATCTCCTGTCTAGCAGGGGGCTGGACTAGAAGACCTCCAAGGTCCCTTCCAGATGTATCCTGATTCTGAATCCAATTCTGATTCCTAATGAAGCCTCTTTGGAAGAAGCTCCCTGTTGGACATCTGCCCAAGTCACTCCCCTTGGCTTGCTGCTTTCCTGGCCAGAACGGTGACTCACATAGAAGCTCACAGGACTGGAATTCCTTCTCTGGAGCAATCCTGACCCACACAAAATCACACTTTCCAGAGGTAAAGATGGCCCTCCCATGTTATAAGAAAGAGAAGCAAATTTAATTGATTAAGTATTTTGGAAAAACAGGATTGGCCTAATTAGTGATTGTTATTATTTATTAGATTTTTATCCCACATTCATTACTATATAGCCTTTCTTGAACTCCCTGGCCGTCTCCAACTCCCCTTTCCGTGAAATGAGACATGAAATATTAACTATTTTTTTACCAACAAAGGAGAATATTTCTAGCTCAGGGTTGAATTGAGGGGGTCCTTGGTGCTCTCTGAACTTGGTGGTTTTCTTGCAGATGTTTCATGTCCCAAACATGCTGGTGTTACGTAGTTGGGGTAATGAAATGTCTACAAGAAAACAACTAAACTCAGAGAGCACTAAGGATTTCTCAACTTTTACCAAGGCTTGAAAGGTTCAGGTATTTGAATCCCACCACTGTATATAAGTGTCCCAAGGCAGCAAATATACCTAATATTCCTTTCTCCTATTTTCCCCACTACAACAATCCTGTGATGTCGGTTGAGCGGAGAGAGACAGAGAGCAACAGCAATAGAACTTAAGACTTATATACCGCTTTATAGGGCTTTCCAGCCCTCTCTAAGCGGTTTACAGGGTCAGCCTATTGCCCCCAACAATCTGGGTCCTCATTTTACCCATCTCGGAAGGATGGAAGGCTGAGTCAACCTTGAGCCTAGTGGGATTTAAACTGCCAAATTGCAGGCGGCCAACAGTCAGCAGAAGTACCCTCCAGTACTGCACTCTAACCACTGTGCCACATGGCTGAAGATTGACCCAAGATCACCCCGCTGGCCTTCATATCTAAGGTAGAACTAGAACTCACCATCTCCTGGTATCTAGGCCAGCACCTTAACCACTATACCAAACTGGTTCTCAGTTATTTCCTAATTTTTATAAAGCTGCATTTTGCTCAAATGAAGAACTGCAAGAAACACGTAGCCCAGAGAAGAGCCTGGACTTGTCCAGAATGGTATATAGGGTTTCCTGCTAAAGTAGGGGGTTAGACTAGAAGACCTCCAAGATCCCTTTCAACTGTGTTATTCTCTTATTCCTTTCAAATGTTCACATTCATGCTCCCAACTTCCTTGGATACTTACGTTTGGCTCCCATAACCCAGAAGACACACGAAGGAGTAAAATTCCTCTGAAATAAAACCAAAATTCAAATAGTGAATACAATGCATGCTATTTTATTTTTTTAAAATGTAAAGTACAAGGAACAACCGTAGAGATACATGCAATATTTCTTAGGCTCTGGAAAAGTTTAAGACATCTGGACTTCAACTTCAAAATTCAAGCTTCAATTCAACACTTCAAAAGTTCAGGCCCCACATCTTAAATTGCTGAGGTTGGAAAATCCTGATACGTCGTTTTAGCTTCTTTTGGTGTACATGCAGTTTGGGTGAGTCACCGAGAAGATTGCAATCTTCCATTAATGTGGTATATAAGAGGAAATGAAGATCTGCCTCCCACTCATGCATTTTTTTCAGGTAACACAACATGTTATCATTGGGAAACGTGTTGCTGTCTCATTGTCAATCCTTCTCTTGCCTTGGTTGCTTCTCTTCCCAGTCCAGTTCCTGCCTCCCTCCAAAATTTGGGACAACAAAGTCCAAGCAGATTTGATCCTTGTTGAGGCTGCTTATATATTTCAAGAGTTCATATATGCCCCACATGTGCCCAGCCAGCAGGACAACCTCCAGTAGTATGTTTTGAATAGAAAATAATAACAATCCCAACTAAAATAAAATAATATCCCCAAACATCATGACACTCTCCAAAATAGCAAAGAAAACTTATTACATCAGGTCAATAATTGGAAGCAATTAATATACAGGTAGTCCTTGACTTACCATCACAATTGAGCCCCACATTTCTATTTTTATGTTTTTTTAATATAGATTATGATGGTGGTTAGCTGTGCAGTGTGATAAATTTGAGATGGGTGGCTAGATAAATTGAGATAATCAATCAGTTAATGACGATGGCTCTGGAACCTATTTCTCCAATCCTCCTAATTAGGATTAGTCAGCCAGCATTAATGACAAATGTTCAGAAACATTAGTTAATTCTCCATGGTTTGTGACTGAGCAATCTTCAATAAAGAATACACAATTGTTAGTGATTGTTACCATTTTTCAGACTGAAGGTGCTAAATAATAATTCTCATGAACTAAATCTATCTATCCATCATCTACCAGTATCTACCTGTCTCTGTCTGTCTATCTATCTATCTATCTATCTATCTATCTAATTTATTTACCTGTCTACCTACCTACCTATCA